ACATTTACCCCAACGAATTTCTTGAAAAACCCACAAAAAGTCGCCCAAAGCCGAGGTCTACAACTCCAAAATGAATAAATCCTCAAACCCCTGAAATATATGCTTCTCCCCAGCCATGTTCGCACCTGCGACACATTAGCCGCTTTTGCGGCATCGCTTTTGTCCACAAAAATTCCCCTTCTGTGGAGAATCACTGGAGGCCGCCCTTTGCACCTGCATAAAAAGCTTTGCTTCTCCGCAAACGCAGGTGCGAACAAATAACATGCTTCTGCACTGCCATCCGCTTCTGTGACCAAAGTGTTGCTCTTGCGGACGTGCAAATGCGCCCAGAACTCCGCTTCTGCAGGCTTCCCACATCCAGCATGCTTCACTTCTGTGATCAAAGTGCCGCATCTGCGACTAGCCCTCCGTAGATGCGGACACACCAGAACTCTTCCAACCAGCCTTAATAAAAAATGATCCAAACGATCTAAACCTCGTCCGAAACTCATTCGAGAAACTCGGGACCCCGTCTGAATATCCCAACAAGTCCCGTAACATAACACGGACCTACTCGAGGCCAAATCACATCAAATAACGTCGAAACTACGAATCTCACCTCGAATCGAACTTAATAACTTATGAACTTTCGACTTTTACAACTCGTGTCGAATCATATCAAATAAACCCGGGATAATGTCAAATTTTGCATGCAAGTCCCAAATGACATAACGGAGCTAATCCAACTCTTGGAATCAAAACTTGAATCCAATATTAACAAGTCAACTCCCGGTCAAACTTCTCAACCTTCCAAACCTTCGATTTTTTATTTTTTTCAAAATGCATCATATTGACCTACGGGACTCCAAATCCAAATCCGGACATACGTCTAAACCCGAAACAACCATATGAAGCTATTGGAATCCTCAAAACTCCATTTTGGAGTCGTCTACATAAAAGTCAAACTCCGGTCAACTCTTATCTCGTAAGGTTCTAGAACAAGAATTCTTCTTCCAAATTGATCCCAAATCATCTGAAAACCGAACTCGATCGTCATTAGTCTCCCACTGATAACGTTATTTGCTTATTCCTTGTCTCGATAGTCACTAGTCAATAGCTTAGATTCTTAGTTAATTTTAATTATTAATCATATAAATCTCAACTGTTGATCTTCTTTGGTAGCAATCAAGCTAGAAATTACGAGAATACTGTTTAAATCCAATCACTGTGGATACAATATCTATACTATCTTTGCTTAGCGAGCATAATTTAAAGGTGTGTTTGTGCTCGTCATCTATCAACTTACCTTTTTGCATTTTTCACGTGGCATGGGTAGCAATAACTGGTTTGTTTCATTAATTTCATTTTTCATTTGTCTGGTTGAAAACGATAGAACACGAAAAGTATAACTGCTGACTATATCATTCAATCAATTTCAAGGTCCATACAGATAATGTTTTCTATTTGCAATTATATGTGAGAATAAAGCCAAGTTTTTGTTTTCTAGCAAGTAGCAACCTATTATTGTTTACAGGCAGAGATATTCCAAAGATTGTGTTTCAATCTGTAGGAAAAAAAATTATTACAGATGTCGTAGAGGATGAATATCTATCACTGCTGTCTTTCAAATTGAAATTTAGGCCTTATATATATGATCCATTTCATCTATCCCCAACTCCTTAGTTGTAAATTCATTATTGTTATTTATATCAGTCTAAAATATAATAAATCCTAATTTTTGTCTTTATCACTCCTTCGACCTTAATAAATCCACACTTGTTGTGTGAGGCGCTCTTATCGATATCTTTAAATAGTATTTTCAATCGTTCACTTTTACTTATTCACTATTAAAAATATACTTTATCCTTATCAATGATTATTCATTTTTCTAATCATTTCCCAAGACTTTTTAAAATATTATCATTATTATATATGTTATAGTAAAACAATATATTTTAAAGGGAGTGCAAAATCCATTATGGACAAGTAAAAGTGGACGGACGGAGTACTAACCAAATGCTTATTAAGACCGTTATCTTAATAGACAATCTGAAGATATCAATACACCCGTCTTTTACCTCCAAGAAATAACAACAACAATAGCTAATCCAGTGAGAATCCCACAAATAAGGTCTGGGGAGGATAGGATGTACGCAGACTTTACCCCTACTTTTGTGAAGGTGGAGAGATTAATTTCGATAGACCGTCGATACAAAGAATATGAGGAAACAGCAATAGCAGCAAACAGTACCAACAATACAATATTAAATAAACCGAAACAAAAGAGATAATAATGTATATAGAAGTAAGAAACAGAACAACCTTTAGTTAAAAAAAAAATAAAGCCTAAAGGAATGCAAAAGCAATACGAATATTACCGATAAGAAAAAGACAAACGATCGGTAACCTACTAACCTTCATCCTTAATCCTCAGCCTCCACACCCTCCAATCAAAGATCATGTCCTTGGTTAGCTGGAGTTACGCCATGTCCTGCCTAATCGCCTCCCCCCCCCCCCCCCCCGACTTCTTTGGCCTAGGGTTATTCATTTGGATCGGATATCTGAAATCCGAACCAATCCGTTGAATTTCGGATTTCGGATTGTGTTTATTAAAATTTCGGATTTGGATTGGTATAATTTTAATAAGATCCGATCCGAAATCCAAAATTTTTAGGGCATGTATAAATACTAAATTTTAATTTCGGATAGTTAGTACTTCCTTTATATTTTTCTTACCTTTACAATTGATGCATTTAGCTATATTGGCACCATAGTACTCTTATAATTGCAGAAACATAAATTTTCTTACTTTATTGCCTCTTTTACAAAGAAAATATACATATGAGCTTGCAACTTTGAGGTATAATAATCCGAACCGAAATTTGAAAATCCGATCCTCCAAACTTTAAAATTCGATCCAATCCGAAGTTAATTCGGATCGGATTCAGATTGCATTTTCTTGAATCCGAAATCCGAAATCCGAAATCCAAATCTGAAATGTGCTAAATCCGGTCCGATCCGATCCATGCACAGCCCTACTTTGGCTTGTCTCTACCTTTCCTCATACCTACCACGACCAACATCTCGCATCTTCTTACTGGAGCAGTTGTGTCCCTTATTTTCACTTGCTCGAACCATCTTAACCTCACTTTTCACATCTTGTCTTCCACGGGGACCACTCCGACCTCGTTCCTAATATCTTCATTCATAATTTTATCTCTCTCTGGTACACCCACACATCCATCTCAACATTCTCATTGCTACCACTTTCATTCTAGACGTGAAATTTCTTGACATGCCAACACTCTGCCCCATACTACATAGTCGGTCTAACCACCACTCTATAAAACATACCTTTAAGTCTAAGCGGTACATTCTTGTCACATAACACACGAGATGCTAACCTCCATTAAATCTACCTCACTCCAATACGATGTGTGACATCATCGTTAATCTCCTCATTATCTTGGATTATTGACTCAAGGTACTCAAGCCTCATATCCACATTCGCTTTATAAGTTACTTCACTGAACTTGCACTCCAAGTATTCCATCTTGTTCCTGCTAAACTTTAAATTTTTCGATTCTAGGGTCTGTCTCCAAACCTCCAGCCTCGCGTTAACCCCAACTCACCTCTTGTCAATCAATATTATATTATCAGCGAATAACATGCACCATGGCACCTTTCCTTGGATATGTCGCGTCAAAGCATTCATCGCCAAGGAAATAAAAAGAGTTTGAGATTTGATCCCTAATGTAAACCCATCTTAAGTGGGAAGTGTTCCGAGTCCCCACCCACATCCTTACTTGGGTATTAGCTCCATCATACATGTCCTCGGTCATCCTAACGTAAGCTACCAGAATACCTCTAGCCTCCAAACATCTCCAGATCTAGCTCCCTCAGGACTTTATCATATATTTTTTCAAGATCGATGAACACCATATGCAGGTACCTCTTCCACTCTCTATATTACTCCACCAATCTCCTAATGAAGTGTTAGTTTTCATAGTTGAACGCCCCGGCATAAATCCGAATTGGTTCTCGGAAATGGACACACTTCGCCTTACCCTCGCTTCTACCACCCGATCGCAAACTTTTATGGTATGACTTAGCAGCTTAATAACCCTATAGTTGTTGCAGTTTTGGATATCGCTCTTGTTCTTGTACAACGAAATCATCGTATACCACCTCCATTTTCGGGCATTTTTTGTCCTAGAAATAACATTAAACAACCTAATAGCCACTCTATGCCTACCATGTTTGCGTACTTCCAAAACTCTACCAAAATTTCGTTTGGCCCGGTCGCTCTACCCCTGCTCATCTTACGCATAGGCTCCACAACCTCCTCAGTCTTGATACGCCTACAATACCCAAAATTTCGACGATTCTCGGAATGCTCCAGCTCACCTAGCACAATGCTCATATCCCATCCCCTTCGTTCAAGAGTTTATGGAAGTATGTGGGTTTTTACCTCCGAGCGTAAGAAGAAAACAAAAACAAACAAATTTGTTAACAATTTACTTTTCTTTTTTACTCTAAAATATTAGCACCAATTAAACCGTTCTTATGAATGTTGAAAAATTCAGTGGAACGATGAACCAATTAAACATAAATCTTACATCCGCCTTGCTGCCAGGTGAGAAAAAATTAGACTTGAAAAGTCAAAGAATTTGACAATAAGAGATAATACAGATATCAGCCAAGTTTCAGCTACTTTCTATTTTTGACAAATTAAAACATTTTAGTTTCACGTTAATAAAAGATAAACTAAAAAATGCTCAATTCATTAATCCAGTGCATAGATTGTTAGGTTCTCTGCCTGAAAATTTTTGCTCAGAAGATATTAAATGCAACTCGAATCCATCTTATGAAAGTTAAAGCTAGGAGAGAACATTACAAGAACCAACTTTTTTTTAATTCGCTTTTGCTTTTCTCTTTTTAGACTTTATTTTTAAACATTACAAGACTCAAAATATCTTCTTCTTCTTCTTTTTTTTCTTGCGGTGTGTAACTATCCGAGTGTCGGCCTGTCGGTAAAAACTCTATTCAACGTCTAAACTCTCTTATAAATAAACCCTCTAGCTAATTAAACCCTTTTGTATATGAAGAAGACAGAGCTCTCAAAAGCTTGACGAAAATGGCCAGCTATTCTCTTCCATCACCAATAGCCAAAAGGTTTTCGTTTAATTTAGTTTTGTAGTAATCATCTTTTTTCTTCTTCTCCTTAGAAATAAAATGGTAGTAAACTATCCTACTCGTATTTGACAGGCTAGAAGGTAAAGTAGCACTCATAACTGGTGGAGCTAGCGGCATAGGAGCAGCCACAGCTAGGCTATTTGTTCAACATGGTGCAAAGGTTACAATTGCAGACATTCAGGACAACCTCGGAACTTCCTTAGCACAAGAAATTGGCACAGAACACGCAACCTTTGTCCACTGCAATGTTGCTGTTGAATCAGACGTTCAAAATGTTGTAGATGCAACAATTGCGAAATTTGGTAAGCTCGACATTATGTTCAGTAATGCTGGTATAGGAGGTAAGCCAATTTCCAGCATCTTAGAAGTCGATTACGACATAATTAAGACTGTGTTCGATGTAAACATTGTTGGCGCCTTCTTTTGCGCTAAACATGCTGCTAGAGTGATGATTCCGGCTAAAAAAGGTTCCATTATATTCACAGCAAGTGTTGCGACTGTGGTCTATGGTCTAGTCCCGCACGCATATTCTGCATCAAAAGGTGCAGTTTCGGGACTTTCCAAGAACATTGGAGTCGAATTAGGGAAGTATGGAATAAAAGTTAATTGTGTTTCTCCTCATTACATTAGCACACCACTTGTATTGAATGCGCTGGGAATAGCAGACAGACAAATGGCAGACAAATGGTTTGCAGAAGGAGGGAATCTGAAAGGAGCATTATTAGATGAAGAGGAGGTGGCAAAAGCAGTGCTATATTTGGCAAGTGATGATTCTAAATATGTGAGTGGAATGAATCTCGTTCTTGATGGTGGTTTTAGCACCACAAATGTGGCTTTAACAGCGGCCTACAACAAGTTGTTCCCATCCGAAAGTACCCATCAGACTACCAACGGAGCTAGCAGTGCTGATTTTTTCAAAATGAGTGGGAATGAATAAAGAGAGACCAACTTCAAATGATTGATATCAGATCCCTTGACTGAAATCTTTCCATTGTGCAAATTATGCTAAGTAAGGAATAAGAAGGCCAATGATATCAACTAAAGTAGTTTTTATTTCGGACTAAGTTTGAAGTTTGATGCATACTTTTCCTATTTTTAATTTGTGTTTGCTTTTCAATTAGAGAATTCCTATCTTAAAACGAGAGAGAGAGAGACCTGAAATGGAGCTACATCAGGAATTGAATAATGGAGGTTGGGAGTGTGAATGAGTGAAAAGATAATAGAAATCTTGGTGATGAACCATGTACACAACTATTAGAGAAGTTGTATGCTATGTATCACATAACCAACACTATTTATGCGAGAGATCTTTTTTTTTTTTTTATTTCATGAGAAGTAGATTCATGGACCTAGTTGATTTAAAACATAAAACCAAAAAGGTAATCTCAAGTCCAAAATTCTTCCTAATTAAGTTAATTAAGTGACCAAAAAAAGGAAGAGTGCCAAGTTAGGCATCGCCGCACCGGCAAAAAAACAGTAAGCAAATGGTCTATAGATGATTCTAAAAAGCCAAGCAATAAGTGAGTTCTGGACATTAAAAAGAGGGACACCCTTTAGTCTTTGTCCCCCAAATGGAGACAAACCAAATTGAATTTTATCATTCAAGAAGAAAGAGCAAAATGTGATTTCAACGTGAAGGATTTCAACGTGAAAACATTTTGTTTTCAGCGCCAGGACCAGCGCCATGCGCTGGTTTGGACGCTGTGTGTGCGGAGGTTTTCCTATTTCGCTCAAGACAAGGTTATTTCGGCCCAAGACCCCCCAACTCGTATATAAGGAGTCCTAAACCTAATTTGGAGGGGAGCTAACATACTTTGGAGGAGAATTTACGTAGAGGAACACAACCCACGCTTGGAGGAGGCTTCTAACTAGTTTTTCTTCTCTTCTCTTCTTTTAGTTTCATAGTTCATTAGCTCTAAAGTTGTGGGGTGCTACATGAACGTTGTAGTTTGAAGCTTGGATTGCTCATATTATTTTATCATATTAGTTTATTTATTCAATCTTGCGCTTAATTATTTGATTGCTTGATCACCAATTGAATACTATCTATGAATTTAGGATTGAACTCGGGAGAGGGAATTCTACATTGCATATAAGATTGTGTAGAGCAAGATCTTAACTCTGGGGGGGGGGGGGGGGGGATTTGCGGTTAGGATAGGAATATAACTAATCGCCTTGCTTGGTTACTATACAGAAATTATTAATGCGTTCTTGTTAATTCTAATTCCATAAGAATATAGGCGTTAGATTAACTTGAATAGGCGAGTTGTACTTCGGGAGAAGGCTACGAGCAATATTAACCCTGTCAACCAATAAACCAGATAAATTAATTAGACAATTTAAGTGAAAAACTCAACGGGATTGTCAGCTAACCCATAGCTCTAGATATTCATCCACATTGAATTCGTCTCTATAATTTGCCAACTTATTTTCTTTAGTCTCTTAATTTGTTACTATAGATTATCTTTAGTTAAATATTCATACTTTAGAATTCGCTTGAATAGATTAATTGTTTGGGTTTAATTTAGTTGATAGTTAATCACAAGTACCTATGAGTACGATATCTGGATTTACAATCCTATATTACTTGTCGACCGCGTATACTTGTGTGTGTTTGGGAGCAACACTTCACTCTGACATATCGCATTTCAAAGTAGAGTTTCTATGAGTGCCCTGACTTGCCCCAATTCCATTTTGAGATGAGCCGTGTTTTCTACCTGTTGAAGCAGTTAGTCATGAAAATACCACGGGCCGCTCATTCCTACTTCCTTGAGCTAGCATGGTTGCTTTATCTTGGCCACGAAACTAATAGCCCGTTTGACCAAGCTGCAAAAATCAGCTTATTTTGAGAAGTATTTTTTTTCAAAAGTCCTTTTCTCAAAAGTACTTTTGGTGAGAATCAGTTTGTGTTTGGCTAATTAGTTTGAAAAGCACTTCTGAGCAGCAATTAGTGTTTGGCCAAGCTTTAAAAAACTGCTTCTAAGTGTATTTTTCTCAAAAGTGCTTCTCAAAAATATGCTTTTGGAGAGAAGCTACTTTTTCTGCTTCTCCAAAACTGCTTCTGCTTCTCCTCAAAAGCACTTTTTTTCCTTCCAAAAGCTTGGCCAAACACCTCAATTTTTGGCCAAAAGTGCTTTTGGCAAAAAAAAAAAAAGCACTTTTGGCCAAACAGGCTATAAGACTTCTAAATACAAATCTATTACTTTAAGGAAAGAAATAAGGTTGCCATCACTTATTTCTTTCCCTTTTTACTGTATTTTTACATAATATACACAACTGAATAAAGAAGAGAGTTCTCATCTCACATCAAAGCAGTAGATAACTTTGCAGCTTCTGCTATAACTATGGCATGCATCAACATGCAAACAAAATTGCTAACATGCAGCGCAGAAGCATAATGTTAAATATACCAGAGGGATGAGGAACCTGAAGAGATCACTATATTGCTTTTGCTAGAATTCTACAATATGTTATACTCAACAGTAAAGCAGTAGGCACAGGTTGTCCTCAAAGGGAAATGATACAAGTGCATTCCTAAATTGAACAATCCACCAATACAAGGCGTGGAAATCCTTTTTCCTGCTGACATGGGCATCCAATCCAAAATCTAATAGTATTTTTTTTTTTTTTTTGGTTGAACTGATAACATTTGTATATATTAAAAAAATCAGTACATAGGTTGTACTGAAAACCATATTTACAGGTAAGTACAAATAAGAGAACTGGTATGCAATCCTAGCAAGACCCTAGAATATCTAAGATTGACACAGTAATCTGTTTACACCAAAAACAAAAGAGTAGAACACAACTAAGCTTGATCTTCTGCACTGAGTTGCTTCTGTCCTCAAAACATCTAGAATTCCTCTCTTTCGTCCACCAGATACATGTCTGGGACAGTCCTCCATCTATCTCCTCCATCTATCTTTGTTTGTTGCTTCAGCTCCAGCTTCATCCCAACTGAAAAGAACTTCAGTAATCCTACAGGTCCATGAAATACCCCTGAGACTAATAAAGATTTTCGATAGTTGGTCCGTTATCTTGCAACGTAAAAATAGATGGCTATCTCAACATTTTCCCCACATAGAAAGCATCTTGAGCACAATGAGATCCCTCTCTTTATGAGATTATCCTGGGTTAAAACAACCTCCTTTGCTAGTAGCCAAGTGAAACAAGCTACCTTGTAGGGAATCTTGATTCTCCAAGTATTGATAATACAGTCTTGGTTTCCATGAAAGCAATCACCATCACAAGAATAGTTGGTTATCTTTTAGAGCATTGATGCATATTATGACCACAACAGATCATTTCAAAATGAGAAATACTGCATCTTGGTATGATGAATAAGCAAAAATAATCCTGGAATAAAGATTTCATACCGTCTTATCTCTTGTTTGGTTACTAATCATGGGATAAGTTATCCCAAGATTAAAAATAGTACCAGGATAGCTTATACATGTCAGAAGGTGGAACAGTAATCCCAGGATAAGTTATCCAAGATAAAGCAGTAAAATTAACAGTCTGAGGATTAATACAACATACCAAATAATCAATAAGAAATAATATCAACATAACTAATCCCAGTATAAATAATCCCAACATAACTAATCCCAGCATAACATGTATTCAAACCAAACAACAAGTATATCGGCAAATAGGGTAATAAATATCTCTTCTCAAGGAAAATGGTGCCTATGAGTTTAATTTTTATAATGACGGGCATTGGGAACTGTAGCACAAGAAATTAGAGAAAATTGCAAAAAAAAGATATGAGAACCACCATTTTCTGTTGTTTTAGTAGTTGAATCACTTGCAAAAACAGAAAAAAGAAATAAATCAAGTATAAGGTGGGAAGAGTTTTTAGTTGAAAAACAAGGTGGGAAAAATTTAAAATTATGTACTATAATTGATATGAAAAGACAGGCTCAAACTAAGCTATAGGCATTCAAAAATAGCTTAAGATCATACTTTGTTTATTTTGCAACACATGATAAGTAAGAACATTAAAATCTCACAATTGATATGGTTGTGGATAGCTGAAGGATTTATGGGAAACAGAAGTGTCTTCTTCGACATGCGAAAGATTGCAACATGGCTTGCTCTGAACCCTCTTTGTACTTTTTTCTCTTCGGCAATGGTTTCTATAGGTACACCAAGTAGCTTCTAACACTTTCCTTGTTATTTTGCACTTCAACTCCTTGTTCACATGAATCCTTCAACAACCACAACCATACAAAAGGAAGATTGTTCGAAAATAATTATTGGTCGAATACCTAATACCTTAATTTAAATGTGAGATCACACAATTTTTGCATCAAAGACAACGGCATGTTGTGACTTCTCTTTGATACTCTAATGTTTTGTCCATGACCAAGAACCTAACCACAATAACAATAACAAGATGCGGCGTGAAAAAGTGTAAGCTTGATACATCGTAGTTAATCCGAACAATGCATGGATATTATACTACAACTACGCTGCAAATATTATACAAACATCTGAAACCTTGCTTTCTTATTCTACAACACTTGAGGACAAGAAAATTCTAGTCCCAAAATTAACATGGTTATGGATCGCAGAAGCTTTTATGTCAAACATAAAGCGTTCATTAAATATCAACTGCTATTGCTCTTATTTGATAATTGCTTCCGTCAAAAGAGCATGTATACTCGCCTCCCGTGTTTCACAACACACAACCATGTAAAATGCTGAAAAATAAAGAAAGCAAGTTCCAGATATTCTGCATAATACAAGTAGCTTAGTCCACGCACACTCACACAATGTATTTCATAAATTTGAACACAGGCACTCCAACTTTTACAAAATGGATCAAAATATTCAATATATCAACGCAATTTGGAGTTCAACAATCCTAAGAGATAAAAAAAGTTTGTGCTAGCACAACCAGATTTGGCTTAAATTTGCATAGAAAAATTTATATATGATAACACGAGAACATTTTAGCATCCTTAACAGACAATCAAACACTCAACATAGCAAGTTAGCAAGCCTGCATAATGAAAACAATAAAATAACTCAACAAGTACACGGTAAGAAAATATACAAAATAATCATAAAGATACAACGGGGCATTCACATACCAGTGTTATTATACTAATAGCAGTAAAGGGGTGCGGCGGCCAAGTGAAAGCTAGGGTTCTCCGGTCTTGAAATGGAAGAAGAGTGGAGCTTTAATATAGTGCTGAAAAAACCCTTGTACTTTTAAAGAGTTCGTAAATTTACCTCTCAAAACTAGTTATTTGTCAATTGACCCTTCTTCTTTATTAACTTGTGTCATCTAGGGATGGCGTGGGCGCGGCGGGGTGG